TTCTTACACCCAAGGACAACACATACTTAATGGACCTCTTGCCTTCTCACTTAGACTGCACAATCATGACCAATGGTGGAGGAGAACTGCCAAATTCTATCCAATTCAGATCAACTGTGGACAAGCATGGCTACACTCCACTTACGACTGCAGCAGATACCTCCTCTCAGAATGGTATGGCTGAAAGACCACACAGAACACTGAAGGAACGCATCCGTTGCCTCTTGGCACGGAATAGTGGACTGATGCCCTTTTGCATGCCACATGGCTCTTCAACAGAACCTACCACAGTTCAATTGACATGACCCTTCTTCAGCTGTATACTGGTCAAATTCCCCTTGTGGACAACCTCATCACTTTCAGCTCTAAGATCACGGCCAAGAAACCAGGCACAAGACCTACCACCACTAATCCATGGGCCTATGATGGCATATTCCTCGGCTATGGACCCACCACAGACAATATCAAATACTTTGATATCCACACAGGCACTGTGACAAAATTGCCCGTCATGATTCCAAAGATGAATTGCAATACGGAGACGACCCATCCAATTGCTCGCCAGCAGCAGCACATCTCCTGGAAACCTTCATGGAAGGACTACACACTGATCATAGCACAAACAAGACACCAGATAAAGTGGAACTTAACTTTAAAGACCCCAGGCAAAGAAACCCAGACAGCCTCATCCAGGAAATTATTGATGATGCCCCTCAGCCCTACACAGCAGCAGCAGCTGCTAAACTGAATGCACGTATCCATCGTACTAAATTTGAGAGACCAGACCTTATGGCACTGATCCCTGAACTGGAAACTTTGGATATCTCAACTAATTTATACACAAAAGAGATTAAGTATACTATTCCCCTCAAACATACTAACACCTTTCACCCCACAATGGGTTTCATTGTAAGCACACATCCAGATATTCAGGATGCTGTTGAACTAACCTCAATTCAAGTTGGAACTATTGCCCATTCTTGCATACAGGGCTGGAAACGAAGACTATGCGGTACCATTATTATAGCTGTCAATGACAGACCAATTACATGCCAACAGGCTAAAAACAATCACCGAGCCTCCATTACATTTGCCTTTGGTACACTTACAGGCTTTGCACTTAACAGAGAGGGTGTTCCAACCCTTCAAGCAGATCAACTTAATGTTATTGCCCATCATCTTCATGCTGTTAACCACTTCCAGGACCTATGACCCAATAAACAGGATTGGCCTACTCCTATCGATGCCCCGGAAACAGTGACTGAGCAACTTCAGGTCTCCAAACTAACACGCCACAAACTACAGGCTACACCACAATGGGATGGCTTCCTACAATCAGAGTGGAAACAGCTTAGCTGGTATCACAAAGTTGGAATGTTTGGTGATCCTGTACCAGCTCAAGAAGACATGACCATCCTTCCCTGGGTGTGGACCTACATTGAAAAAGAGAACCCCTTAACAGGAATTGTGGAACCAAAGTCTAGAGGAACATGTAATGGAGGAAAGCAATATGGCAAAGCTGTCACACTTGCTGAAACCTATGCTGCTTGTGTTGAACAATTGAACAAAGGATCCACGGACTCACATGGGCACTGGCTGCTGCACTCAATCTTACTATCTGTGTTGGATATGACTTTGGCAATGCATTTGCTGAAGCCCCAGCACCACAGTCCCCTTTTTACATGAAAGTGGATGAACCCTTCCAGCAGTGGTGGACTGAGTGTCTTCATAGAGACCCCATTCAATATGGACAAGTTATTCCTATTAAGAAAGCCCTTCAGGGCCATCCTGAATCCCCTCAATTATGGGATAAATATATATCTCAGATCCTAATTAAGGATCTTTGCTTTAAACCAACCATCCATGAGCCCTATCTCTATTACAAACACGACCATAACAGACTCACACTCATCTTACGACAAGTGGATGACTTCCTTATTGCTAACGCAGATGAATCTGTGTGTGATACTATCAGAGGCATCATCCAAGACCGTATGACCAACCCCTTGAATATCCTTGGAACAATCCGCAAGTTCAATGGTATTCATGTGAACCAGGCAAGGCACTTTAATCACCTCCACTGCAGCACTTATATTGAATGGATCTCTGAACACCATGGATGGATTACTCCTCATCGTTGTACACATAATAAACCAACACCAATGAAAGAGGACCCAACCTACCAAAGAAAAATACAACTGACAGAGGGACCAACTGATCCCTTCAAAGCACATAAACGACAGCAATCTGCAGGCTTCAATTACAGGCAGTGTATTGGAGAGCTGATCTATGCACTCACTATTTGCCAAATCAATATATCCATTGCGGTTATTACATTAAGCCAACACTCACACTCCTCTACTAAAATACACTATGGTGCAGTTAAAGCTCTTTTTATGTACCTTCTTGCCACCAAGTGTGAAGGACTCACATACTGGAGACCTGAACCGAGACTGGATCTTCCAGATCTTCCACCGCCTACACMATGCACAGCGAATAACAAACTAACCAAATTCTTTCAGGCAACAAATCCCCTCCAAATCCATGGTGCTTGCGACACCACATGGGCATCAGATAGGCTTCAACGGCAATCCATGGGTGGCATTATTATGATGCTTGCTGGTGCCGCAGTCTATTACCGCACCAGGCTCCAACCAATTTTGGCACAAAGCTCTACTGAGGCTGAATTCACTAATATGGTGGATGCAGGGAAGGCAGCCCTTTATCTCAGATGGATTCTTGAGGAATTACACCTAGCACAGACCAAACCTACTCCTATTATTGCAGATAATCACAGTGCAGATAATCACAGTGCTGTCCGTATGGCAAACGCACACCAACCCACAAGAAGAACACAACACGTAGAAATGAAACACTTTGTCATCCTCCAATGGACTGATGACGAGCATATAAACTTTGTGGAAACAAGATCTGATGAAAATTACAGCAATTTGCCAAGCAAACCAACTGGTCCAACCAAATTCCTTGAGCACATTGACATGTTCATGGGAAGAATTCAACCAAACGATGCAAACTCTGGACTGTTAACCACCCAAAACCCCTCAATTAGTGAGGATAGAGCAGAGATATCAACTATATCCACTAAGAAAGTCTACGTACCACAGGTAGACTTTCTACACACTGGATCATCCTGCTCCACTTGCAATCTAGATCCTCTCCGAGATCTACTATATAGCTAGTAGTATACATTTGACTCATCCAAGTCATTTGACTCATCCGAGTCTCTAGATCCTGCAAGTGCGGTGTGGTGTGAGCCTAAATCACAAGTGAATAGTGAATAAGCTCACTCTTTATTGTAAACACGTATTTATACAGCACTAAAGAGCACTTGTACATTTTGCAACCAGTAAATTTGACATAAATGTGTTAACCGTAAAAAGCCTACCACGCACTACATGGAAAAAAGTAATTTTACTCAAACTGATTTACACCAAAAATTATTACTAGTAGTAGCATCACTGTTAATTTAGTTAATTTTGAAGCACAGTATTTAGTACTGATCCTACATAGATCTACCAGTATTTGGTCACTCTTTCAACCCCAAACAGTTCAATAAGCTAACCACAACAGCTCAAGAACCAGCTCAAATGAGATCCTCTTTTGGGATATGCTCGGTCATAGTGTTAAGAGGAAGAGAGCTGTGTGTCATTGTTACACAATTGGAGCCCAGGGGGAAGCTGGTTCTCCATTAGTAATAGCCAGTATGGCCAAAATTGGCCAGTTTTGAGACCGGCTGCTAGTTAGAAAATAGGCCAGAACTCTATCAAAAAACAACTTTAGACCACCAGACTAATCAACCAGACCAAGATGATACAATTACTTAGCAATCCAGGTCATTGGGATGCTTAAGGATGCTCTGATGGCTTAGAACTAGTCTGACAAAGTTACAGTAGTAGTGGGGCAGGATTATGCATTAATTTTGGGTGTAATTTTGTTATGAATTAACTAGTACCGTACCAAGCCGAGCCGGAAAATACTGGAACCATGTCGATTTCAATTTGGGGAGAAAGAATTTGATTCCTGGGGGCCCCATCCTGTTGGGAAATGAGCCGCGCACATGCACATCAAGATGTCTAGTTCTGTCTGTCAAGAACCCAATGATGGAAAGCTGACATTTCTGATGTCACAGAGTACTTATTCACCGCAGAAACTACATTTCACAGAACATATACATCATAGCAATAACATATGGATGGAGATGCATCATGATTGATCATATCATTCTTTTTCCTTTATCCAGTCAACAGGGTTATTGTTCATCTTTAAGGCTTTGTATCATACTACTAGCTAGTACTACTAGTACTAGTAGGTATGCTACTTTTTTGTAGTAGTACTACTATTAGGATACTACTAAGAAGAAGAACCTTCGATATTGATTCAACGCTTTGTCCTTGTGGTACTGAAAACTGTGGTCAATACTGGAATTGTACTCAATTCTGTACTTTAAACTATCTAACCTCAGAAACTTGGTTCTTCCTCCTCTAAAAGTTCTTATTTCAACATTTTGTCTTCAAAGAGGAGATATTCATTATTTCCTTCTTTTAGTATGTCAATGTTTGGTCATTTCTTGACAACATCTTTTGTGTTGGTATTTGTGTTGTTAACAACCACATGAAAGACTATGTTCTTGCCTCCAATAACTTCAATCACTGCAAGTAGCTCTGATTCAGGGGGCATGGCTCTTATACCTCTAGTAGATGTATCTGATGAAGAATTTCAAGCAATACCAGTAGAAACTCTAGTATGGTAATTTTGATATTGTTTTCCATACAGCAATGTCAAGTAGCCGCTGGTACGATAGATTAAGTTGAAATTGCTCCCATCAATAAATAATATTTGATCTCTTCCATAAAGGCTTGTCTTATTGTTTTTGCTGCTCCTCGATCGCAAGCCGGAATCCACCAACTCGAGGATTCTGTGATCTGACTGTCATCAGGGAGAAACAAATCTACTTATGTCGTAGTGAAATTCTGAATTTTTGGACCCTTTAAAATTTATTTAGGTCTTATTTAAACAACGAAATATTGTGTTTCACACGTTCGCTATGCAGTTAGTTCACGCTAGGGACGACGGCACTGTCGTCATCTAGGGGTTGTTCTAGATTCTTGACTAAGGCTATTGGTTCATCAGGAGATGCTTGACTTTCAATAAAAAGCTTTCGCATTTTCATCATGTAAATGTAATTGGCAATCCCAACGACGATTGCAATTGTACCAAGAACAATGGCAGAGACTTCGAGAGCAGATGAATCCTTTCCATTATCAGACACTCCTCGAGTCATGCCCATTACAACTTGCTTCTGCATCTCAAATTGACGAAGGTATTCGTAGTTCTGGACCGATAGTAGCTTTGAAACGTCTGTATCGGTCAGTGTGGTAACGACTTCTTCCTTGACGAAATCGATAACGTAGGTTTCGTCCAAAGAGCTATCAGTCACCCATACGTAATTTGTACCGATAGCCCATTCAATTCTTCTATAGCGTCCATGTGGAGCTCTTCCAGGGATAAAGTCGTCGTCGTTGAATGTAAAATATCTTGTCTCCATTGGGTCGCTCGTGATATCAACGATTGCAATCTTGTGTTCTGTGCCAGATGGGAAGATGATATTGGTATTGCCATTCTTTTTAACGAAAGCAAAATCCATTGAGACACTTTTATCCTCGTATCCGCTTCTATTAAAATCAAGTTCCACATCAAACACCTTTGTCTGAATTAACAACGTCAAGGAAGCAAATAAAACGAACGAAAAGTCAGGGAAAGAAGTGGAGCTAGAAAGGGACATGTGGTACACTATGATCAACGTACGGAAGGGCGACCAGGTTCCCCAGCTTCAATGATGCGGATTGTTTTGCCACCGTTTCGACCAAGAAGTATAATGTACTCTATTGTTTTTTGAAGCAATTGAAAGTGAAGAAAATTGTGAGGGTAAATGCGTCACGTATAGCAATGAATTTTCCTCGTCTTGTCTTTCACATAATGGCCAAAGACTTACTTCCATCTGGTGAAGGGTAAGGATCACCGCCGATTCCTTCTGCCATCAGATGAGTAGCAACAATTGTTTCGTTTCCAGTGTCAAATTCATAAACCCCAATAGTATCGATATCGGGTTTGCCTTCGCAACTGCTTCCACAGGTGCCCTGAACACCCGTCTCGCCACTATGTTCGAAGAATGGAGGAGATGAATATCGGTCAGGAAAAAACGGAAAAAAGAGTAGAAGAATAAGCTGCAAGACTTACGCAAATGCTCCTGTCACTGGGCTGACCTCAGATCCTGGGTATCTACCACAACTATCACCTAAGTCCGAGCCTTCGAAACCACAAGTACAGCATAGTTCGGACCTAATAAAAATATGTTTGTTCACAGGAGAGTACGCTGTTTTTTCCAAACCATTTGTTGGAGGATTCATCTCAAACTTATCGATGATTGCCTTGGTGCTGAGATCCACCTTGAATAGGTAAGGAAGAGTTGTATCAGTGATGAAACCAACATCACCGAGTGTGTTGTCGATGACAGAGTAGCCTTTTGACGAGAGTCCTTCTTTCAATGCGCGTTCATCCGTGAGGATGTCAGTTTGAATAACACCACTGGGAGAGGAGGCAGAGAAAACATCAAGTTGGGTGGGCGCTGTACTGTTCGCATCCATGTCAGAACAGCGAACCCAGACTTCGTCGCGCAATGGGTGAAACTCCAAACTGGAAGGACTCATACAAGTGTCGAAAGAACCAACGACTGCCCCAGTGTTGATATCAAAGAGGTCAATCTTTGCAACACCCCGAGCAAGTGATGCCCAGACATATTTTTTTCCGTCCGACATAACGTCATAAAATCGACAGGGGGAGTAATATCCTGATCCTTTAAAATCAGGCTCCTCGTGACAAATAGCTGAACCATCGATGCTGACCTTCTTGTCCTTTCCATCGGGACTGTAGATAAAGACACCATTCTTCCCCATAAGCCACATGGAGTTGCCAATGTAGTCTTTTGTAGCAAGAAACTGGTCCTTGTTGATTTTTACGTTAGCTGTAGTACGAAAGAGGAAACGAAAACATTAGATTTCGTTAAAGGCGCCCAGTCATGATATCACGGTGTTTTCATAACCGCACTTACCCTGGACAGGCGAGAGAAAGTAGCAGAATGCAATAACTAAGCCAGAGGAGATCTTCATTGTTACTTTTTGCAAGTATATTTATTGAAATTATGAAAAGCGTACGGTAGGTGCAGAAATTATTTGATTTACTGTATCTTTCGATGCATGACAATAAAAGTACGGTACGGAATTGCACAGGCAACAATAGATATCGTTTTTTTGGTTCGAAACCGAAAAAGATGATGGTGACAAAGGTTGTCAGATGTGGTATCTTTTTTTGGCCTTTCCAGAATCAACGAACACAGAAAAAGCCTAATTTAATTAATGCGTTGAAGTCATAGTATTTATAGCCTTATCGTAAAGCCTAAAAATTCTTTCGACCTTTAGGCTCTTTAGGCCAAACAAAAAGTACTAATTCGTACTGTAGTACTGGGCCCTCAGTTAGAATTTTCAAAAAAATTAAATAGTTTCCCGTACACCCCATGAAACAAGGAGAAACAAAGAGAATACTTCTCTTTGTTAGAAAGGGCAATATTCTCATTGTTTCTCGTTGTTGTAACAAAGAGAAACTAAGAGAACATTG